GGGACCCAAGGACTTGGGCCATCTTCTACTGCTTTCCCAGGCCATAGAAGAGAGCTGGGCTGGAAGTGGAGCAGCTGGGTCTTGACCAGGCGCTCATATGGGATGCCAGCACTTCAGACCAAGGTGTTAGCCCGCTGCACCACAGCACCGGCCTCAAAGATTTATTTTTTATTTATTTGAAAGGCAGAGTTAGAGGAGAAAAGGCAGAGAGAGATCTTTGATGTACTGGTTCACTCCTCCGCAGCCACAATGGTCAAGGCTGGGCCAGATTGAAGCCAGAAGCCAGGAGCTCCATCCAGGTCTTCCACGTGGGTGGGTAGGGTCTCAAACACTTGGGACATCTTCCATTGCTTTTCTCTGTGCATTCACAGGGAGCTGGATTGGAAATGGAGCAGCTGGGACTCAAATTGGTGCCTGTAGGGGATGATGACCTCACAGGCAGTAGCTTTACCCGCTATGCCACAATGCTGTCCCCTGTCCCTTACTTTTTATGCAAGCAGTTTTGAGTGTGTTGGAAAGTCTTTACAGTGACTCTGCTACTTGAAAAGTAAGCTCTGGAAAAACACTTGAGATTCTCATGTGTACCTTGGGGTGTTGCTTTCCTACATTTTCTGGTTTGTGATTTGATTTTATAATGTGTTTTACCTTTTGTTTGGTAATGCACACTGTATGTATAATGTCTGTCAAAGAACAGTTGAACCATTTTTTTAGTCTTGAAATTTAACGTTGTTTAAAATTCTACAATTGTGTAATAGATGTTTTTCTGCATGTTTGCCAGGTTAGGAATAGGCTTGCATTGCTCCCATACAAATTTTTATTATAAAAATAATATTGCTGTTTTACTTTCTGTTAAACCTGTAGCTGTGTTGCTGTGTTACCTCATACTTGCTCTTTTTATTTTATTAGAATAAGAATAGAAACCACTTGGTTTAATTGTGTTCTTCTTCCATGGGTCTTTATTGTAGCAAGGGAGCTATGGCTTGGAACTGCATTTCACTGTCATTGAGGAAATGCAAACAGTCTGAAGCAATGGTAGCATGCCCATGCAGGTTGTAATTAACAATGCTTTTTAGTAACTAAAAGAAGTGTATACTTTTCCAAATGATGATATAATAAAGTAGACAGAAATTCCCAGCCTGTGGTACATGACTAGCTAAGGGATGTGTCTTCTAGAATCTCCAAGATGCAGAATGGAGTTTGTACAAGCACATGACTAGGATGCGGGTTCAGACATGTGTGTAGAGAATCCCCCTTTAAAAATACATACAGAGAATGATAAAATACAGCAAAGCAGTTTTTTTTTTAAAAGATTTATTTTATCTGTTTGACAGAATTACAGAGAGAGGTACACACACACACACAAATTCACAGAGAGAGAGAGAGAGAGAGTGAGAGAGACAGAAAGAGAGAGGAGTCTTTGATCCTCTGGTTCACTCCCCAAATGGCTGCAATGGCTGGAATTGAGCCAATCTGGAGCCAGGAGCATCCTCCAGGTTTCCCATGCAGGTGCAGGGGCCCAAGGACTTGGGCCATCTTCTGCTGCTGTCCCAGACCACAGCAAAGAGCTGGATCGGAAGACCTGGACTTGAACTGGCACCCACATGGGATGCCAGTGCTGCAGTCTGGGGCTTTAACCCACTGTGCCACAGTGCCGGCCCCCAGAACCGTTCTTTGGTGAATTATCGTTGGGAAACATCATTCCTTTCTTCTCTGTTTGGTGAGTCCCACCAAGTAGCTTGGGATTTGCTATCACATAAAGCAGGAATGAGCATAGGGCTTAAAAAGGGGCTGCTCACGTCTTCTGTTATCTTGTTAGTCTTTAAAAAATTATTCATCTCTGTGGGAGTTTTTCTGTGTTATCAAAAAAGCAAATGCTTAAACATTTGTAAAGTTTTATCCATGTTTTCCAGAGTGGTATTCTTTGTGGTAGTCTGCTGTGTGTTTGGAATTGGTAGTGGCAAAATCTACGTGATTTACTTGTGTGAGGAGTATTTGTCTCTGCAAAGTTCTTTTCTCCAGGATACTGTGCCCAAGACATTTTTTTTATGCCATCTTCATTATTTTCCTATCACTAGGCCTTTTATTTACTATTTTTCTTCAAACACACACACACACACACATTGCTTTTAAATTTTAATTTATTTAAAAATAAAAGCCAGTTTGTTGTCACAAGTAGCAGATAAATACAATAATAAATAAAATAAAAATACATGCTGTTATTAAAGTACAAAGAAAAAATAATATCAAATTATGACATTGGTTTACAAACCAATGGTTTACATTGTTCCTAAAAATAAGTAATAAAGAGGGAGAGAGAGAGCTTCCAATAAGTTCAATGAAGTAAAGAATGAGATTTTTTTGAGCAATCAATAATAAAAGGATAGTAGATTTACTATTACCTTGTTTCAGACACAAAACATTTTCTATTTCAACACACATGGTCTTATTTTTTGATTTTGATGCTGGTAGTGAGAGTCTCACATATGTACATGGTCAGAAGGGGTCTGGGGACAATGAGGTGCCTTCTCTGATAAGAATATGTATGCTAATACCTGCTTAGGAAGAGCTCAGTGACATCTGCGGATTTGGTTAGAGAGCCAGTCCTTCCTTATTGGTAATGCTTCCAACCAGTTCAGAAGTTGAATAACTAAAGGTCTGAGTCATTCCTGCTACCAGAGCCTGATGGCTCATTTAATCTGAATGTGTTGACTGCCTTTCCAACAGCCGGCATCTCATTCTACGCCACAGTATGCATGGCTGTGTTATCCTAGTTATATCGAGTCTCTAAAATTAGCCCAATAATTGCTATGTTAGAATGGTTGCTGGTGGAACTCATAACTCAGTGATTGTGGACCTTATCATATTACCTGTGAGGGAAGAGGTGGACATTTATCTGGCCCAGGTAATGATGGATCTGTAGAGGAGAGTTAGTTAAGGAGAGATTAAGAAATTGTCACTTGTGGGACAGAGGATTTATTTGCATTTTTGTCTGTGAGAAAGCTTGGAGGATGTTTGTTTTTTAGGATATTTCAGAGAGTAAAATCCTGGACTCCATCCTTTATACACTTTTTCTAGACCACATTTATCCTAAATCAGAGGCAGACACCACATTGATATTTGACAAAAAAGTGGAAATGATTCTCCAAAGTGTCTGGGAGACCCTGTTATTGGATATTAATTCTTATTCAAATAAGCCATTATTAACCCGGAATTAGAGATCTAGCAGATTTCTTGGAGCAGTATCAGTTTTTTTGAGGGCAGAAAAAAACCTTCAAAATTCTCCAGTTTGCAGCTTATTTTGCTCTTAGTAGAAAAGGAGGGCCTTTGAAACACTTCTGTGAATGTTGCAAATGAAAAATCTGCCTTTAACTGCCTTAGATTGGTAAGAAATCACTTGGCTTTGTCATTTCTCTCAATAAATGATCTTTCGGTGAATATCACTTAAAAACAGAGTCAAAATCCAAAAGCTTGAAGGTATTGGTTTAATAGATTTCATGACTGAGAGTATTTTAGTCTGGAAAGAGCCTCAATTTGTTTTTGCCAATAAAATGTGTATTGGACCAGTCTCCAAAGTTTGACTTGTAGGATCCTTACCCTATTACAACTTGGCGGGCTAAGTTCCTTCCATTGTTCCTTCCCCCACTGAGGGGACAGACATGATTAAAGATGCTTATCTTTAATTTACCAGTTAGAGATTTAAAAATGCTTTCTCAAGCGATGTCAGTAATCACTTACCAGGGTTGACACTGACCAGCATCGCTTGGCCTTTGCCCTAGAGATGCTGGATATCTGGTGAGGGAGGCAGGCAGGCGTGTATTTACATCATGTGACCCAGAGAGTGATACCTGATCTATGGCTATTTAAAGTGGCGAAGTGGGATGAAGAGGAAGAAATGGTTAATTATCGCTGGAGGATCGTTTTGTGGGACCATTAAGTTTAGTAGCTCTTTTAAAAACGGAGTTTGCCAGATGGAAGATGGGAATCAGGCATTTCACGTGCAAGCTTAGCAGCTTGAGCAGAGACGGGAGAAGGCGTGCTGTGCGGTTGGAGGGGGTGGTGTCGGCCATGAGGGAGGAGGACTCCAGTGTCTGCTCGAATCACTTGCAGAGCTCTTTGAATTTCACACTTGAGACTTTCTGGATGTTATGTCGAAGGTGATCTACCATCGGGAACTTGACTGGTGGAATTCTACCACACAATGGGCTTAAAAAAAGACAAGTGGGGGCCGGCGCCGCGGCTCACTAGGCTAATCCTCTGCCTTGCGGCGCCGGCACACTGGGTTCTAGTCCCGGTTGGGGCGCCGGATTCTGTCCCGGTTGCCCCTCTTCCAGGCCAGCTCTCTGCTGTGGCCAGGGAGTGCAGTGGAGGATGGCCCAGGTGCTTGGGCCCTGCACCACATGGGAGACCAGGAAAAGCACCTGGCTCCTGGCTCCTGCCATCGGATCAGCGTGGTGCGCCAGCCGCAGCGCGCCGGCCGCGGCGGCCATTGGAGGGTGAACCAACGGCAAAGGAAGACCTTTCTCTCTGTCTCTCTCTCTCACTGTCCACTCCGCCTGTCAAAAAATCAAAAAAAAAAAAAAAAAAAAAAAAAAAAAAAAAAAAGACAAGTGGGAGCAATTGTGAGGAGCGTCGGATCAAATGCAGGAAAACTAATAAGAAGCTTATGCAGTAAGCTGGGGCTGGGTGAGAGATGACGGTGAACTAGGTGAGGGAAATGAGACAGTGTGATATAAGACAGGTTGAATATAACATCAATAGGAGTCAGCTACGAATGGACATTCAGATACATAATTGTAATTGCGTGTTCTGCGATCAAGGCACGTATGGGGTACTGTGAGAGATCAGAGGAAGCCTCACAGATGAGAGGGTTAAGGCATTAAGAAAGACATTAAGACCTTTCAAGCCGGAGGAACAGAATAACATGATACGGTTGATCTGGCAACCACATGTCAGTGGTTCTCAGTCAGGCTGCACATGGAAGTCGCCTGGGAAGCTTTTGAGACTGTTGATGCTTACAGCGCATCCCTAGAGAGTCAGGTTTGATTAGTCTGGTGTTGATGGTGATCATAAATGCCTTTACAAAGCTTTCCAGATGATTCTAATGTGCTAACGCGCAAGCTAGGGTTGAGGTCTATTGTTAAAAGCAGTTTGCTGTGTTTGATGTATGTGTAGATGATAAATAAATGTGGAGGTTAACCCTTAGATACAATACTAAACTTGTCATTGTTTTCTAAACTGGGACATTATTTTTTTTTTAAATAAAAGGAAGCCATTAATGATTCATGTGATTCAATAGCTGTAAACCAAGACTGTTTTGGGGAAACTCAGATACATGGGGGGAGGGTCTGATTAACTTGAGTTTGGAACCACTTTGACCACGACAGTGTGGAAGACATGGAATGGAGGGAAGATGGAAATCAACGTGGTTGGTTAGGAAAGTGCCGTAATCCTCTAGACGAGTGACAAGACGCCTGTCCTGGGCCCTGGGATGAGAGGAAGGAAAGACAATGAGAGTCGGTAGGGCCGTCAGTTGTCTGGTGTCCTGGCAAAAGCTGCACAGGGTTAAGGAGGCAGGGAAGACTGCATTGTCTTATTGTAGTCACCGCGAGAAAGCAGATCTCTGAACTGAAGATCCCTGAGCAAAGAGAATTTTTAACAGCTGGGATGGGAGGGTGCACAGAGGGCCTTTGTGTTTGTTAATTTCCTTTGGCTTCTCCCAAAGGAAAAGTGGACTTTCTCTTATATTTAGGCGTTTTTTTTTTTTTTGGGGGGGGGGGCATAGTTCCCTTGATATTTACATTTCAAAGAAGTGGTTCCTAGGTCTTTCACAAGGACATTCTGGGCTGTGAGAGTGGCAAGACTTTTAGAAAGAGTTACTTATATTTCAAAAAGGCAGAAAAATGTTTTTTAAAGTAAATCTTGTAAGAAAATGTCCCTTCAAAGTTCTGATGGGCTAAGAGGACTGGGAGGTGAGTATCAGGGAAGGGGAGGAGTCAAATCATGGGTGGATGTTGATGCCATTTATTACCTCTGTAGAGACTGAAGTAGGCAGGCATACAGGTTAAAATCATTAAGTTTGTGAACTGGAAGACCACGCCTTTGCCACGCCCCATGTGACCTCATGCCCCTACCTGATGCCTTTGCCACGCCCCTGAGTGGCCTCATTCCCCTACCTGGCCACACCGGGGTGCCCACCAGCCAATCAGGTTAATTAACCACTCCCCTTTGGAGTGGGTTAAAAGCCTAGGGCACAGTATGCCCGCCCTGCTTTTCTTCCCTGGCCTCTTGCCAGGACAGGGTTTGCTGTAGCCCCACGCCTTCAGGGCGCATGGCCTTTGGGCCATGTGCTCTAGGCTTCCTGGCCTAGATGCTCATCTACATGGCTGGTTCCTGGTGCTTGGTATGAACCCCTATTCACCTCTCCTAAATAAAGCTCTCACTTTCTTATGCACCTTTCTTACTAAATAAATCGGTGCTGGTATTTAGAATTCTTCTGTAAATATTAGGCAAGAACCCTCTCGGGCTTATTAATATTGGGGATTTAGTAATAAGTCCGTGGTGAAATCGTAAGGCACCCCAAATTCCGGTAGCGAATGTGGCACCCCAGATAGCATTTCTAGGAACTTTAAGGGGCCACATTTCAGGGTAAGTTTTAGGGGGGTCTTTTCCGATTTCAAGACCAGAAGCAGAATAGAAGGTTTATCAAAAAGACGAAGTAAGTTTTTGACAAACTGAGTTTATGATTCCTTTGGATATCCAAGTTGACCTGAGTTGGTCAATTTGGGTCTGTGACCCAAAAGAAGTGTGAAGTGGGAGGTGGGTTTGAGAGTGGTCAATATATAGTGGTCAACCAGGGGCAGGTATTTGGCCTGGTGGCTAAGAAAGTAGCTGGGTTGTCCATAGCATATTTCTCGGTGCTTGGGGCTGATTCTTGGCTTCACTTGCTGCTCTAGCTTCCTGCTAATGTGCACCCTAGGAGGCATTGGTGATGGCTCAACGATTTGGGTCTCTGTTCCCATGTGGGAGATCTGGTTGAATTCTCCCTGCCTCTTGTCTTTGGCTGGCCCAGCTCCATCCTACCTGTTGTGGGCATTTTGGGAGTGAACCAGCGGATGGGGACTTTTCTCTTTATGTCTCTGTCTCTTTCTCTCTTCCTCTCAAATAACGATTATAAAAAAAAGAATTTATATGCAACCACTCACAAACTTCTGCTTTAGTTCATTGTGTAACTTATGCTAAGGTGAAATTAGATTGCACTCCCTCCCCCCCGCCAGTGAGGGAGAATTTATATTGATGAAATGGAGTTTTGTGAAACACTAAGATCCAGAGATATCTAGTAAGTGCCTAAAACATTGTGTGAGTTCTATTATTATAGTTAGTAAAAAGCTACGGTCAGAATAAGGGAATCAAATTGTCAGTTGGTGTTACTGTAATTTACTATTTTAATTGTCATTGTATTATAGTGGCTATTACTTTTCAGGGATTCCAAAGTATTTACCAAATTCATTTTCCCTAGAGTTGGCAAATAAGCAAGAAAAAGGTAACAACAAGTGGCAGAGTTGTCTCATTATCTGAATTTTTGTGAGATGTTGTAGCAGTTAACTGAAGGTGAGGAATCTCCCAGACAGGTGAGAACAAAAGAAAAATCCCCAAATTTAAATGTTTTTTTTTGCAGCCCCACACCAAGAGGTGAAGTATGGGAAAACACACCAGTTGCTCTGTTCTTTTTGATCCCGTTTTCAGCCCATTTTTCCCAAGGTTTTTTTTTTTTTTTTTTAAGATGTATTTATTTATTTTGAAATTCAGAGTTAGAGAGAGGGATAGTCAGAGAGAGTGAAATCTTGCATCCACTGCTTCACTCCCCAGATGGCCACGGTGACCAACACTAGGCCAGGCTGAAGCCAGGAGACAGGAGCTTTATCTAGAACTCTAATGTGGGTGGCAGGGTCCCAAACACTTGAACCACCTTCTGCTGCTTCTCCCAAGCCATCAGCAGGGAGGTGGATTGGAAGTGGAGCATCTGGGACACGAAGTAGTGCTCATATGGGATGCCGGTGTTGCAGGTGGTGGTGTTGCCTGTTACACCGCAACACTGGCCCCAGCTTCTGCACTTAAGGAGGCACGTTCTTTTTTTGTGTTTGTACCTACTCAAGTTTGTAGTTTGATGAGGAGTGGCTACAGTGCTCAGCCAGTGTTTCTCTTAAGACTTTTAAGGTCTACGTCTTCACTGGAAAACCTTGCAAAAGCAAATCTGGAAAGGTTTTTGACTCCACGTTGCTGGGTATGGTCATGGGGCCTCACAGCCTCGTGAGGAGCTCAGAGCCATGACGCAGTTGTAGGAATTCTTTGGAAGAAGCGTGGTGTGTCTGTGCTCTTGGGCTGAGGTTGTGGCTGAAGAACTGGGTTCGGCTGTGGCAGCCCAGCAGTATCCTTGGCCCAGTAGTAGCTGTTTTCTGGCCCTTAAATGTTGAAGGGCAGACTCTGGCCTGCCCTTGGCCACAGAGACTTGCGACGTCAGGTCCTCCCATCTGGAATTAGCCAGAGGCCTTTGTTTCAGTGAATGAAATATTGCCATTATTAAGACCACTGTACAGATCCGTGTCCCAAGGATTCTCCGAAGGCTGTTCACAGGCATTTTGAAGAACAGTTTAAATCCCAACTGGCTCTTATAAAAGATTTTTTTTTTTTTTATCAACTAAATGTGAGGGGGAACAACAACAACAAAAAACCCTACCACAGTCATTTCTGAGGTAAAATTTTCCCGACAGAAAATTCTGGGTTGGAAAATTGCTTTCACTTAAGCTCTGCCCCTCCCCCACTCAGTTTTCACTGTAGGCTGCCTCACAATGCACTCAGTGGGGCCCTGAACCCACCCTGTGGGTTATTTCTCCAGAAGCTTCCATGTTATCTTCTCTGTCATAATAGCCTTTATTCTGCATACACTTATTGTCAGACATGGACTGCAGGGTTCCTGTCCCCTGGAGCTGCTGCGATTGTTTGTCCCTGGCCTGGAAACATTTTAAATGTGTGTGGATTTTTTGTTGTATTCTAGTAGCTGTGCCCTTTCTGGAAGTTTTTTTTTTTTTTTTTTCTTAGTTAGTGACCAAAACAAAAACAGAAACCACCCAAAAGTAAGCCGGAGAGTTGTTCTCTGGAGGTCACCTGTGGAATTTTGCAAGCCACTGCTGACTCAGCTGGGGGAGTGGTATACCTCCTGGAAAAGATGAGAACAGGAAACACCACTGTTTACAGCCCTTGAGGAATGGTGATTTTTCTACTTACTACTTGTTGAGTTCTTTATTTAGTGGAGGGTTAATCTTGTGGCAATAAAGAAAATGAAAAGTATGTCATTGTAAAAATTTAGAGAAAAATAAGAAAAAGAGGAGGGAGGTTGGGATGGGAAACATGATTATGCTCCTAAGACTGTGTATACATGAAACACATGAAATTTGTTCACTTTATATAAATAACAAAGAGTAAAAAAACAGAAATTGGGAAGGGCCCAAAATAAAGTCTCAAGCAGCTGGAAAAACTGCTGTGTGGAGGGTGCTTGGCCGTCTTCAGTGGGAGAGGAGGAACGGCAGGGGTGCAGCTGAGAGGGAGAGCGGGCTGGCTGGATGCAGGCTGCAGGGCTCTTCGGGGAAGGAAGAAGCTGTCGGATACCTGCGTGATATATTTTCTTCTGCAGACAAAACAATACATGTAGAAATAAGCAGCTGTCAATGGTGATATCCCACAGCACAAGCTCACAAATGGGTTAGTCTGCCCGGCTTCCCTGTCCCGTGTGAGGAGGGTGAGGAAGGGCAGGGGAGGGGAGGTCTGAAGGGGCTGTTAGCCCTCAACACCCTAAGTGGGGTCTGTGCAGATGGGGTGGGTGAGGGACTCCTGGTCAAGTACTGGGTATTTTGGAAGCTGGAGTCTGTTTTAAGGCATCGATTCAAGGGATATTTTGAAGTTGAGCTGGAGTGCCTAGGAATGGCTTAGAGCTTCAGGAGTTGTTTTCTTTTAAAATAAAATGAGGCCGTGTGTTTGTTCAGTGTGACACTGAGAGGGAAGTCCTGTTAACTGAGGTCTCAATAAAATTGTTAAAGAAGGAAAGCCAATTTCAGCAAGGCTTTCATTTTTGCCCTGTGGCTGACCCCCGCTGAATTTTAGTTCAATATCATTTTGTTATTAGACTCAAAAAATCAGACCTCAAGGGACCCTTTAATGTGTGGGTTTTCAAAATATGCCCCACTGTGGATGGCTGGGTTAATCTTCCTAGTTGTGAGAGCCTGTCCTTTGCTGCTTGAGTTTCTAAATACCAGAAATCTGCCTTCTTCTTAAAAAATGTGGAGACTGTAATTTGCAAATTCACTGCAGATGATCAATTATACAGAATGCACTTCTTCCTCACCCTCCCTTCCTCCCTTCCTCCCTTCCTCCACATTGCCACTTATATTTATGCCTAAAGTTGGATGTACTGCGGTGAGATGCTAATGTATGCCTTTAGAGAGTGCTTACAGTAAAATGAAACAGAACTGGGAGGCCCAGTTCAAATGAAGCAAAGCCATCCATCTGCAGAGACTGCAGAATCCACACAAGGGTAAATTTGTTTCTGAAGGGTGATATTTCTAGAACAAGGCAAAGCTTACCCTCACCTGTGAGTGTGAAACTAATTCCTCCTTGCTGTTGATCCAACACAGTTTTTACCATAATGCCCTGCAAGTCTCAGTGTAATGTCAGTGGCTTTCAAACATTTTGGACCATGAACTTTTTACCATAACTGTAAGAAATAAGAAATATAAACCAGTATACACACAGTCCCTCACAGACATGCAGAAGTTTTATGAGATGAATACATGCCATAAACCCTGATCCCCTATCCCAACCCAACCCTACCACCCATCCTACTCTATTCTACCCTACTGCAAACACTAGCCTGACTTGGATTCACAACCTGTTAAGACTTGTGATCTGCTGTTTGAAACCCCTGAACTATTATTGCCCCCTGCTTTGACTTGCTGATCATATCAGCATGTATAGAATATTTATTTTCTCTTTTCTGTAGCACTGAGAGGACAGAAGCATTCAGTGTTTGGAGAGGGGGCTGCCATACGGGAAGAAAGAACCCAACCTTAGTGGAAGTTGTCACCTTTGTTGAGATGTTACAAGGCTCTATTACTGTAATATCTTCAGAAAATGTTGAGGCTGACTTAGCATATTGTCCCTTTACAAGGTTTACCAGATTTAGGAAAAACAAAAGCCAAACCCAAACCAAAACCAGGAACATAGTTAAATCTGAATCTCAGACAAAAAAATATTTTTTAGTGTAAGACAACAAAATAGATCGCTATTTTTTAGAAAAAGATTTATTTATTTGAAAGGCAGTCAAGGGGTCGGGGGAGAGAGGGAGAGGGAGAGAGAGTGGGGAGAGAGAGGAAGAGAGAGAGAGGTAGAGAGAGAGAGAGAGAGAGAGAGAGAGGGAGAGATCTTCCATCCACTGGTTCACTGGCTATGATAGCCAGGGCTGGACTAGACTGAAGCTAGGAGCCAGAAGTTTCTTCCGGATCTCCCACGTAGGGGCAGGGGCCCAAGCCCTTTCCCAGGAATATTAGCTTCCCAGGTATATTAGCAGGGAGCTGGATCAGACGTGGAGCAGCCGGGACTTGAACGATTACCCGTATGGGATGCTGCTGTCACAGGCATCGGCTTTACCCGCTATGCATGCTGGCCCTGCAGGCTGCATTTCTAAGGAAAGAGTATTTTTCTGTTCTTAACTGTATTTTCTGATTTGGGTTCTAATGAATACTAGTGTGTATTGGATAGTCATAGGTGCTCCATATAAACAGAATTTTGTGGAAAAATCAATTTGAGATTCTGGCTAAGCCAAGCCACTTGGTTTTGGGACTGTGGAGGTGTGTGCTTCAACTGCAGGGCGTTTCAGCGCCTTGTCTTGACAGTGCCTCGTGAGTACGCATTGGAGTCTTGGGCAGAGCGCAAAGCAGTGCTTTCCAAACTGATGCATCTGTTTTCCTTGAAGAAGGCTTTTACAGAAAAACTACTTTATCACAAGCTTTTATAACCTTAGGCTGTTTGTGTTCATAATCTTACCAGTGTTTTGAATACAAGTGAAGGATTTGTAAACATGTCAGGGAAAATTTTATTTTATTTTTCATATAACTCCAAGAATGAGAAGGAAGTATTGTTCCACTTTGATTACGACCTTGTCTAAATATGATCAGAGTTGGTGAACTCAAAAGGCTTCCATAGCCTTGGCAACTCATGACAAGAGCCTAGGGGGATTACTGATGTCATAAACAAGAGTGTCAATTTGTTAAGTCAACAACAGGAGTCACTGTGCACTTACTCCTGATGTAGGATCTCTGTCCTTAATGTGCTGTACATTGTGATTTAATGCTATAACTAGTACTCAAACAGTATTTTTCACTTTGTGTTTCTATGTGGTGCAAACTGTTGAAATCTTACTATATATGCTAACTGATCTCTGTATATAAGAGAACGAAATGAATC